TTTTCCTTTTTGGGGGTGGGGGTGAGAGGTTGCTTTCCAAACCACAATATGTATCCTTAGCTTGCAAAGCTAAGTAGTGTAGTTGTTTTTAACACCTCCTGGTGCTTCTGCTGCTGTTAAATTCACTGCATCCACATACTCTTTAGAGTTACAATTTTTGCTGTATTTGGTCATCTCTGAGCTTTTGTAGAAATTAAGAGAGGAAAAGAATATCATTTTTTACATTTACTTATATGTCTATACTTTCTAGTTCTTTTAATTTTTCCTGTGATTTAATGTTTCTGTCCTCATTTTTCTTTATCGTGAAGAAATTTTCTTTGTGCAGTGTCTGCTAGAAATGAATTCTCTTAGTTTTTGTTTATCTGAACATGTTTTTGAGTTCTTTTATGGGAATTTTTTTTTGCTGGGTACAGATTTTAGGTTGAGTTTTCTTTTTCCTCTCAGCTCTTTAAAGATGTTCTCTTGCCTTCTGGCTTCCATTGTTCCTGATGAGAAATTGTTATTCACACGTTTATGGATGATTATGCTCTGGCTGCTGTCAGAGTCAAAGCTGGACATTGGTTAAAGGTGGTAAAAATAGATGTTATTCAGTAAGCATTGCAGAGGGGACAGAGCTTTGCAGAGGGGACAGTCGGGCTCAGTTCCTATTTTCACAGGGACAACTAGGAGGGTGAGGGAGTAGATAGGGGGAGGAGTGAGCAGAGTTCAAGAGATAAAAATTTACTCCCAAAGTGAATAAGAGGGTTGGTCAGTGTTAGTGTGATTAGGCCACCTGTGTCTGCTAAATCAGTGGTCCCCAACTTTTCTGGCACCAGGTATTGGTTTTGTGGAAGACAGCTTTTCCAGGGTCCCCCAGAGGGGCAGTGTGAGACCTGAGGCAGAGCTCAGGGACCCCTGTGCTAATGACAGTCATCAAAGTTAGGCTTCTGTTCTCCCTCCAGGTAGACTTCCTGATGACTGAGCATTTCAAAGGAAGGGTTTTTCAGGTCCTTGAAAAAGACTTTTCTGAGTTGTAGGAGATACAGTATTTACAATTGTAAGCTTTTTTTTTTTTTTTTTTTAAGGTAAATGCTCTTTAAAAAACGTGGTTAGGGGTCTATTAACAGATGTTGGCTGAAACAAATGGTAAATTCCTTTAGCAGCCTTGAGTTTTTTCAAACAAGAACTGAGAAGGGTCTGGACAATGCCAAGAATGCTGCCTTAGGCTACGGCGCTGCTAGAAGCCGTGAGTCTGTTGTGCAAGGGTTCGGATGGAGTCCTGTGTGCCAGGAGTTTTTGTAGTTCTCATCAGTGTCATCGCCTTTGGTCTTAGCGTTTGATAATGATGTGCCCAAGTGTGATTTTCTTTGTATTTCAGCTGCTTGGTATTCACTGAGTTTTCTTGGAAGTGTAAATTTAGTTTTTCACTCAAGTTGAAAATATTACAATCATTATTTCCTTTTTTTTTTTTTTTTTCCTGATCTGTTCTTGCTTCCCCCCTCCCTGGGACTACACATGTTACTGAGATTGTTCATTTTGTTACACTGTCTTTAGTGTGGGTTCTCCTGGTGGGATAATTTCTGTTGGTCCACCTTCAAATCCACTGATTCTTCTGTCTTTTCCAACCATCAGGTTAATTCTTTATTTCTGATTTTGTAATTTTTAGTTGTGGAATTTCTATTAGATTCATTTTTATAGATAATGTTACTCAGCTGAAAATCTCATCTCTTCATTAAGTCCATGAATGTATTCATGATAGTTACTGTAAACTCCTTATCTGTTAGTTCATCTTGGGGATCTCATTCTACTGGACATTTTCTCTTTTGACTAAGGGGTGACATTTTCCTGTTTCTTCAAATGTTGGTGGTTTTATAGTGGATTTGGGGGATAAAACCTTGTAGGGACTCAACTCTGTTATCTTCCTCTACTAAATGGTGTTGATAGTTTTGGGTGGCCTCAGAATCCAGGCAGTTTGCCTCTGATGTGAGCAGCTGAAATCTCAAGCTGAGTTCTTTCTGACTTCCAAGTGCTGGTTCTCAGCATACCTCCACCTTCTCTCCCTAATGTGTAATTTAGGGGTCAGTCAAGGATTTGGATAAAGTTCACACTAACATATTGATGTTTTTCCTCCTGTTGCTCCCTTCTGTACAGGATTTTCCCATAACTTTTCCAGCCCTCTTTCAATTCCACTCTGATTCTGCTGGTCAGTAAAACTGCAGTTTTCTGCTAAGGTCTAATTATCCTGCCTAGCTTAGACTGTGGGGTGCCCATCGGTCTGCAAAGCCACATCAACGCAGCTCTCATCCAATACATTTCCTCTCTTAGATTGACTTCAATTTTTATCTGTTTTTGGTCTCCACTGTTTTTAGGTAGTTGATTGTATTGTATTTTCAAATAGTTGATTTTATTATGTTCAGAGGTTGTCATTTTTATCGAAAGGAAGTTTTGCCTAATTGAGGCTACTCTACGGGCAGAACCTCTGTTCTATTTTGCTTGAGTGTTGTGTTTCAGAATTTGTTAGGTCCATTCTCTACTCTTTACCATAGAGTTTTCCTGGTCATTCTTGTTTATTTTGGTATGTTCTTTTTGGAAAAATTTTGTCAGGGTTAAAATTTAATTTTTTAAAATTGAGGTTGCATTGAATATATAAATTTGGCAGAATTGATGTCACTATGGTGTTGTCTTATTTTTCTTTGCTCAGTTTACTTTGTGATTTTTGGTAATAATTAAAATGTTTCTTTGTGTAGTTTTGACACATTTACAGTTATTTATAGGTGCTTTGTATATTTTGTTATAAATGGATTCTTTTTAAAAAATACTTTTTCTTACATAAACAAGCAAAAACTGTACTAACTAGAAATAAATTTTTTTTAAATAAACCATCCAATTTTGTGAGAGAGAATGTTGTAATCATGGGTAGAACTGAGGCTTAAATATACCCTAGGTTGGCAGTTGGAAAGTGTCTGAATTGGAGTTGGGATTTAGGTCTGTCTTCCTCTAGATTGGTTGTGTGTTTTTAAGAACTGCTGTTTATTGTTCTCTCTTTCAAAGCTTGACTAAAGCACAACTTCACCTCTTCATGCTCTATTTTAGATTCTGGTTCTTGTGCCTGTCCTAGAGTTACTGGACCGAAATGTCCAGTCTTATAAGAGCAGAATAGCCTCTCTTTTTAAAAAGATTTTCGTTATTTACTTTTAGAGAGAGGGGAAGGGAAGTAGAAAGAGGGAGAGAAACATCAGTGTGTGTTTGCCTCCTGTGCCCCTGCTGCTGGGGACCTGGTCGGCAAGCCAGGCCTGTGCCCTGACTGGGAGTTGAACTGGTGACCCTTTGGTTCGCAGGCCAGCACTCAGTCCACTGAGCCGTACCAGCCAGGGCCAAAATAGCCTCTTGATCTATTCTTTTGTTAATCACTTTTTGTGAATTGTGTTCAAGAAAGAAGAATAAAGTTCTATATTACCCCTTGTGAAGTTTAAATTCAGATTCATATGACTCTAGAGTTTTAGTTGATTTTATTGTGATTTTAAAATACGTGATGCAGTAAGATTCCAGTAGCTATTTGATAATTACCTTAAATAAAAGTACCATTTTTAATGGTTTTTTAGTTAGTACCCTCTGGGTGGGGGGGAGGGGTCTAAATTGTCTTCCAGTTTTCTGTCTTTTTCTCACTTGCAGTTAGGGAGATGGAGGATAGACCCCTGTAGCATAAAAAGCTAGAGAATCTGTAAAATACCCCAAGGTGCTAAAGTAAAGTGTCTGAAAATGCATTTTAAAGAACTGTTTAGTATTACTGTTGCTACAGCCCCAAAGCATGACACGAGATGCTTCCGCTTCCCAGTGGCAGTGCAAGAGGCCCCTGTAGTACAGAAGCCTGGGACCCCACTGGATGGAGGGTGCTGCCCAGCCACATGAAGAGAAAAAAGTACAGGAAGACAGCACTTTTTACCACTGCCTTTTGAAATGTAGATTGAGTTAAGCTTATTCATTAGCAGTTCAATCATTTATTTGATTTGATTTTCAAAAGTTGTTTTGAAATGTTTTTTTCTCCTCCTTGAAATTTTGAGGGTTTTGTAGAATGTAAGAAATAAAATTGAGTTGCATTAATTAGCTTTTTTGATTCTGATTTTTAAAAGTAAAACTTAGGACCTGAGACACCTTGGCGTCAAGTTCCATTGCAGACTTCCTTTAAGCTCCTCTTCTTCCCTTCTGCCACAGATGAGAAGTTAAATGAAGTAGTGGCAGGGGGAACAGGCAGAATTATCTCCGGACTGCCCAGGTTCTAGAAGGGTTTGTGGGAGAAAAATTTTGAGTTCTTTCTGGTCTCTGTTTTCAGGAGTACTGATTTAAAAAATACTAGATATAGCAAAATTTTCATACTCATACTGACTTTTAAGAATTTGGTGCTTTTACATATCTTTAGTCCTCATAGAAATTTCTTAAAACTTTTAAGGCAGTATGCTACATTAGAATGAGTTCCAAATCTACTTCCTTGCCCTTGGTAGTGATAAAAGAGCAATAATTTCTATAAAACTGAATATGTAAGTGTCTCAAACAAGTAACTTGAAAATCTTAACTGTGGATATATGTCTGTTTTAATTGAAAGTTTTCCTATATTAAAAATAACAGTTGACATTTGTGTTTAGGTGTTTTCTTTCTAAAAGAAAACTAGATTACAAAATGAAGCACTGTTAGTAAGGCTAATGGCATAGGTTTTAGATCTTTCGTTGTGAGTAGAGGAAATTGGAAAGGGCATTATAGGTATAACTTCATTAAGCTAGAGAGCATTGGTGTTCACATTTTAAAAACATAACCATAACTTATCTGGAGTCACATGTTCCATTTTATTGGCTTCCTTCATATAGAAAATATAGAAACCTGCACTAAAGGCAGAGAAAAAGTGAAGCACTGTATATTTTCTGGGTGAAGGAAGTATTCTGTACATTTTTCATGTTTTACATCATGGTATTTTGAATAACCATGCTTCCATGTTCACATCAACTTTTTGTTTTTCAATTTATGCACAGCACTTGCTCTGAAATTTGGGGACTGAGTACACCAAATACGATAGATCAGTGGGATACAACAGGCCTTTACAGCTTCTCTGAACAAACCAGGTGAATATTCTGCCCTCTGTTGAATCCTAGCAATCTTGTGGGAGGGTGGGGGTGTTTTGGAAGACCTGTAATGGGTTGCTTAGTATAATTTTGACTAGGTTGTTACCTTAATGTAAAAATAAGGCATGGCACTTAAAATACCTGCTTGCCAGTATTAAAAGTATATTAAATGTTTCAGCTAAAATTTTGATCAATGAAATTCTAATTTCTAATCTTTAAATTATTGCATCCCCTAAAGAATAGGAACTTTGATAATTATATCCTCATTTTAGTTTGAGATCTGTTGTTGGCCTAATTTTTCAATAGATACGTAACCAGGTTTTGCTAAATTTCTTGCTATCATCTAAATCTCATCTGTATACTAATAATACATGGTTGATTACTGAACACAGTTAACACAAGGCTAACTTGTTTATGTTTTTTTAATCACCTCATTCTCTTTTTGAGCACATTGGTATTTGTCCATTTCATCTTACCATATTCATCACCATCTGCATTTATGTGTGAGTTACAGAAATACACCTCAGTACTCAACACAATCACAATCGGGTAACGAATTACATTAGTTTAAGTGAGTTTTATATCATTGTTGGTATTTACCATTCTTCACAGTAGTTCCTTTTTTGATAATTTAGTCACCTACAGAATTAATGCCCCTAAAAGAATCCCTGAATAAGAGTTTGATTTACTAAAGATAAAAGTTGACAGTTTTTCAAATGCACTTATATGATACTCTGAAAAATCTATTTTTTTCCCAAATGGTTAGCCATTCACTGACACTTGAGTCATTTGTGTGGCATGTTTTTAAGAATCATCTGCTAGAGCTGCTGTTTACTTTTATGTCAGATCCATTAAATAGTACATTTTTCTTCCTTGTACTCACTAAAACTAACTAAATGTCTATCATTCCTTTCTTTATGCTTTTGTTGAACCAATTTAGTCCAGTTAACTATTCCTGCTTTTTTAAACCTCCCACCTTTCTTTTCCCCTTGCTTTGTTCCAATAGGTCTCTTGATGGTCGTCTTCAGGTATCTCACCGGAAAGGGCTGCCGCACGTTATATATTGCCGGTTATGGCGCTGGCCAGATCTTCACAGTCATCATGAACTCAAAGCAATTGAAAACTGCGAATATGCTTTTAATCTTAAGAAGGACGAAGTATGTGTTAACCCTTACCACTACCAGAGAGTTGAGACACCAGGTAGGAAAGCGACTGAAAAATAAATAAATAAATGCTTGAACTTAAGTATATTAGGTACTCTTATACCTAATTGACCCAAGAAAATTTTGGTGTAAAATTCTAATAAACTTAACCTTAAATTCAGTATATTATTTGGTGGTCATTAAAATACTTTTTTAATTTTTAAAATATTTTATGGAAAGTATATCTTCGTGGGAAGGATACTTTCCTGGGATGGCATAGTCTTTCATCTCCAACTACACATACAGGAAACTGATCCACACATTCAGTCAGCGGGGAGGCGAACTGGTAAATACGTTCACCTGTCTGCTGCATGAACTGTTTTTACTCATTTTGCTCTCTGAGTGGGTGTTTTTTTTTTCTTCAGTACTTTAATGACATCATTCCTATATAAGCAGTTCAGTAAAACTCATAGGAAGATTTATGTTTACTTAGCTTTGTACTTGAAACTTTTCAGGACTACAACTGTGTTTTTATAAGATACCTTAAATACGATTTTACAGATCTTTTCCCAGCCTTTCAAATGGGGGGTTTTTTAACTCTTATGGGAACATAGTATTACCAGGATCACTTTGTACTCAAAAGTACAAAATAAATTGGATCTTGGAGTTTTAGATTGTGAACTCTATAGTAAGTTAAAATTATAATTAGGTTTGTCAATTTCTTAATAGCTTGTATAATACCAAATAGGTGGGCCCTAAATGTAAAAAATTAAGCAGGCTACTTAAAAAAAATTTTTTTTTTGTGAAAACTTTTCATAAAGGTCCTGGTCCCCCACCCATTGCTTCTTGCCATTAACTTGGATTTTTTCTTTTTTTTATCCTTTTTAGTTCTGCCTCCTGTATTAGTGCCACGGCACACTGAGATCCTCACAGAACTGCCACCGCTGGATGATTATACCCACTCCATTCCGGAAAACACTAATTTCCCAGCGGGGATTGAGCCACAGAGTAATTATATCCCAGGTATTTGTTGCCTTCTGAATCTCCTAAAAATTGGGATAGGTACAAATTTTGTGCCTAAACATTTAAGTATTAGTGAACTTTTTCAACCTAGCGGTTTGACTTTTTAAAAAATACTTTTTAGATTTTAAGTAGAAAAGTATCTGTTGGGTGATTATTTTGTGAAGTATATAAACCTAGTACTTGAAACACTTTTATCTGGAGAAAAGTTTTACTTCATATTTCATTTTCTTTTGCAGTGGCTTTTATCAAAGTACTCTGAGAAGCAGAAAAGAAAAAATCTTAGTAAGTTTGTCTTAGTTATTGAAGCTAAGAGAGATGTAGAATGTAAGCAAAATAAATGATACAGGAAAAAGTATTCCTGAAACAAATGTAATGAAAAGTTGACCAGATAATTACTTTCATAGATAATGTTTAAGAAAAACATGACATTTCTATAGGAGATAAAGCATTTTAGTTCTGCAGATACAGCAATACACCTGTGTTGTACTGAAAGTCAGAAACCCTCTATTTTAGTTCTTTTTCATCTGGGCCTCAGTCACTCCTGCTCTAATTACTTCATTATGTGATCCAGCAACATATGCCATGCCATGATATGGTAGCCTGCTCACCCCTTTAATTTTCACTGTTTTTTAGGAAAACAACCAATGTTTTCTTACTTTTCCATTCTTCCCCTTCTTTTAAAAACAGGAACCAAAGGTATAGTATTAGGATGATGATTGAGCTATATACCTTGGATTTTTTGGTGTTAATTTTTTTCTCCTTTTATGTAATATTCCTCTGTCCCATTCTTACACAACTGAAATATGTAAGGAACTAAGGAACTTAGAATTTTAAGTGCATAAAAATACTTCTTGAATGTGTTTCATCATGGAAATATATACCTATTCACTGAAGACAATTTTTAAAAATAAGGATATTTCAAAATAACTAATTTTAAAGTTAGAAAGTGTCTTCTAATTGCTTTAATGTTCATTTTCTTTGCTTACTACTTTATTGCAAAAGAGAAATTCAAGGCTGCTTTTTGGATTGCTGGGAAACAAACTTTTTGAGAAGTTAGGAAGTAGCACACAGTTGGGGTGCAGTGTGAGGGCTGGGGTGGGGGGAAAACAGGGCCAACGCGCTTCCTAGGGAGAGAGTTGTGGTGGGAGGGGGAGGGGAGACATTGCAGATCTTCGAAGCAGGACTGATGTAGCAATACTAGGAGACTAAGGTGGAAGTTCTCACCTTGTAAGCATCTTGTAAGATTGCCCGCCCAATAATTATTTGGAAGGATGTTAACCAGAATGCTTAGTAACTTTCACTTGTGGAGATGGTTGAACTTGTTTTTCCCTTGTTTTTTAGATTTGGGTATTTTACAAAGTAGAAAATCCAAAGCAATCGTACCTATTTGCTCTTGGATAGTGGGGTTTACCCCACTCTGGCTGACAGCAGAACCTGAGAGCTTACTTTTTATTCTACTTGAAAATAAATTTTAACATTTTCTCCAAAATGCTAATAGCTTCATTATTGTTTTATAGGTATGTAATAGTGAGAAAAATAAAAGAGGATAAAGCACATAAAAATTCATTATTTTTTCTTACTTAGACCTCTGAGACATGGATGGTTAGACTGATAAAACTTAGCTCTGTTTGATTTTATCAGCTTTAACCTTTGAAATGATATGTATTACTCTTATGCTTTTTGTCGTTTGAACATATGAAGGCAGGTACTTCATTTTATTCTTAGAATTTCAGTATTAAAAATTTGAGGGTACTGACAAGTAACTTTTAAGAAGTTAAATTTTGTATTTAGCTTGTTGAAGGGAGATGGTAAAGGGTTAATGAAGAAAACCTTTTAGCACACATACTTTCTCTCCTCCTTTTGGTAATTACAACATTTTTTTATGAGTCTGTATTTGAATTGCTTAGAACTGACCAGCAATGTAAATATTGAACTGTTGATAATCATTTAAACTTATTTCTTGTTCTCAAAATTATAATTGATAGAATTGTATAAATGCTTTTATTTTCATGAAGCTCATTTAGGTATTCAGATGCTTCCTAAGTAAATACTTTGCTCATAAAACATGTTGGAAATGACACACTAGAATCTTATTTATTTTCAGGAAGTGTTTTATCTCAGTTTTGTGCAGTAGTCTGTATTTGAGTTCAATTTACTGCATTAATACTCAGGATTTAATGGTTAGAAATCTCTGGGGAAATACACTTTTTGGGTAGAATTCAAGCTAGACCAGTCCTGAGCTATGTTACTATATTTTGCCCTGTAAAATTTAGTGAAAGATGTAAGTCTGTTACTTTTTAATCTGAAACTATTCATGTCTGGATGGGGGGTTGGGGAGTTTTTTAATCATCTAGGTACTTATCCATGTGGCCATTAGTTAAAAAAAAAAAACACCAAAAAACCCCCAACATTGTAGCTACTAATGTCTTTGAAGCATACTGATCCAGAACTGAGGCATCTTTGAAGTTATATTTTTGGCTCTTGTCCCAGAAAATATACATATGAGAACGAGCCAGATATTTAAATAATAGCTAGGAAAATACGCCCAGAGAGCTCAATTGTACTTCAAGTAGGCTTTAAGGATTTACCTACAAGATTTGGAGCAGAACCTGAATCCTAAGCTCTCAGTATCCAATACTGCTTTTATAATGAGGTTATATAACATTTATATTTGTAATTTGGAACGATTCATTGGTTTTTCTTTTTGGTAGCTGGGAGAAAAGGTGAGATTAAATTGTAACTCTACTTGATTTGTTCCAAACTTCTGTAGAAACACCACCTCCTGGCTACATCAGTGAAGATGGAGAAACAAGTGATCAACAGTTGAACCAAAGTATGGATACAGGTAAAAAATACCTTTCAGAATCTCTCAGTAATTAGATAGACATTTTTGCCTTATTTGAAACTCATATGAGTTATTTATAACTCTTAAATTTAGAGCAGTTGGGACACATCAAAAAAGTCTTTTTGACTTAATTATCTTGACTTAATTATATCTGAACAATCAATAGTCCCTGTTGTCCATGAAAAGTTAATGTATGCTGCTCAGCAGAGTGCTTGGTAGAATGTTCTTCCGGTGTAGAGTAGATGAAAATTGAGAACACTCAGATACTTTTCTTTTTAGGTATTCTGTGCTTCTATTGAAAAGTTTTGGTTATCCTGTGAGTAAATGTCATTGTGATGAAAGACCATAATTAACAGATAGTCTAATAACAGATTTTCAGAGGAATTGGGAGGGAAGGGATGGAGCCTAGCTTTTCAGTGCTCCTTCAGCAAAAGAATGAGTTCTGAATTATAGTGGATTGTTTACCAAAAAAAACCTTGTACCCGACCTAATTCAGTGAATTTCTAATATTTGGGTATTGACTCCAAAGCAGTGGAAAAAAGTTTTAACATATAATAAATATTACATCATATTTTTAAAACAGTTGTTACGTAATAATGTGTAATCTACCAGAATTGATAGGTTGCTGGTGAACTAGCTGTGATGTCATTGTAATTGTCTGTTTTGATCCATTACAACCTATCAGTATCTTAAGGATTGGACACCTTAATATTATATACAACCTGACAAATTATATCATTAGCATTCTATAGTTTATAGTGAAGCATTCTGTAGTTATGATAATCTATTTTTAAATGAATTAACACTGGTGGTAGACAGGCTTTTACAGTAATTCTGTTGTTTACATCCTTCCATTATTTAGACTTCCAGGTAAGAAAGCTTCTGCTATAGCTTATCATAGCTGTTCAGAGTATTAGATAACCAAGAATGATAGATTATCTAATCATATTTGGAAGTAACGTGTTGTATATCTTAATGCAAATATCGTACTGTAAATGATATTAGGCTTTCCAAATATGTCTTTCTAATACACCTGTATATTGAAGAACTGTATCCCTGAATCAACTGTGTTTTTGTTTGCTCCATGATGGTTAGCTGCTACTATACATTTAAAAGTGAATACCAGCCCTGGTCTAGTGGCTCAGTTGGTTGGAGCATCATCCCATACAGCAGATGTTCCAAGTTTAATTTTTGGTTAGGGCACATCCCCAGGTTGTAGGTTCCATCTCCATTCCAGTGCGTGTGGGAGGCAGCTGATCGGTGTTTTTCTCTCACATTGATGTTCTCCATCCCCACCAGAATCAATAAGCAGGTCCTCGGATGAGGATTAAAAAAATAAAAATACATAAAAATGAATGCCATGAAAAGATGCTCAGCATCAGGCACGTGGGAAATGCAAATGAAAACCAATGACATACCACTTTGCACCTGCTGGGATGGTTATAATCAAAAAAGAAGGGCAATAACAAGTGTTGATGAGTTTATGGAGAAGTTAGAGTCTTCATATGCTGCTGATGGGAGTATAAAATGGTCCAATTGCTTAGGAAACTTAAAATATTGAAAAATATAATCCATCAATTTCACTCCTAGATGTATGCCCCAGAAAATTAAAAACTAAATTTGTGTACATCCATGCTAAACTTGTATACAGTTGTTGATGTAAAAGAGGAAACAGCCCAATTATACATCAAATGATGAATGGATAGATTAAATTAGGTATCTCCATACATTGGAATTTTACTCAATCTTATAATTGGAATGAAGTACTGATCTGTGGTATATAACATGGATGAACCTTGAAAGCATTATGGTAATTGAAAGAAGCCAGACGAAAAGGCCACGAGGATTCCAGTGAGTACACAGATGCCTGAAAGGTGGCAAGAATCAGTAAGATGAATATACAGTAGTCCTTCCATATCCTCAGGTAGTATGTTGCAAGACCCCAGTGGATGCCTGAAACTCTGGATGGGACAGAACACTGTATATTGTATATTACTATTTTTTACATACCTATGATTAATTTAGAAGTTAGACACAGGAAGAGATTAACAGCAATAATTATAAAGTGGAACAATTATAGCAATTTGCTGTAGTAAGAGTATAATCTAAGTTATATATTTTTTAACTTAGTGAGTGTGGGCTCTCTTCAGAATATCTTAACTGTACTCACCTTTTCACATAGAGGAAGCACTTTACAGCTTCTCTTTGACATATCTGAATGGCCAGCATTGCTGTGCTTGTGTTGAGGGCCACTTTGAACACCACCCTGCAAAACCACAACACCTTCTGAGAATCCAGATGGCTAGTAAGTGATTGATGGGCAGGTGGTGTATACAGTGTGGATGTGCTGGACAGAGGGACGATCTGTGTCTGCAGGTAACTGAAACTGCGGGAAGTGAAACCCTGAATGAGGGATTCTTTCACATACATGTTTACCTTTCTGCCCTTCGTTTTTTGCCATGGACATTTGTCCAGTTGTGTTAGCACCATTTGTTGGAGACTTTTCTTTCCTTGTTGATTTACCTTGGCTTCTTTGGTGAAAACCAAGTGATACTGTAAATGTGGGTCTAATTTATGGTCTAAACTCTTTATCTGATAATTCCAGCACTTGGTTCATGTGTAGGTCTGCTGTTGACTCTTAGTTCTTGATTATAGGTCAGTTTTTTTCCTCCTTCGATGCATTCTCGTGTTTTTTTTTTTTTTTTAATCCAATGCTGGGTATTGTGTATAAGGTAATACTAGAGAATAGCATAGAACTTGTATACAAAGATATGCACAAGGATTTCTGTAGATGTTTTAGCTACAAGTAACAGAAACTGCTGGTTCAAACTAACTAAATAGGATATTTTTTACTTCTTGTAACTGGAAGTTCCATACTTTAGTAGCAGCATTCATATATGAATAATTAATAGGCTAACTATTAGTTCACCTGCATGCATTTTAGAAAATGTTTCTAAAAACTTCGGTAGCTAGTAAATTGTTAGCTTAATTTAACTTTTAAAAAATTTTTATGTGGTTATAATGAACCTTTCTGCAATCTGTAATTCCTTTGATCACAAATTAATGAACTGTAACTACTGGTCATTTCTGATAAGTATCTAATAGAGGAGGAAATAGTTAAAAATGAAAAATCGGGCAGTTTCCTCCATGTCTAATAGTAGCTTTGTTTATTTTATAACAGCTTCAGGAAACAGCAGTGAGTTTTAGTTCATTGTTCTAAATATATTTTGACCTTTCTTAGTTATACCTATTGGGACTTGCCAACATTTTTCAGCATGAGGAACAAGAAAAGAACATAAGAAATTAGTTTTGTTATGGAAGACTTTTTTGTCTTCTAAAAATTAATTATTATCTGTTCTCTATTTTTGATATATCTGTTTTCTCTGAAGGTTCGCGTTTCACTTGTATTCCCTGGTATTTCATGTTATGGTTCCACTGGTGTGGGGAGGAGTGGGGGGGCACAGGGAGTCTGGCCTGTCTTGTTCTACATTTATGCCATTGCTGTATATGTGGCGCCTGGGAGCTGTAGGTCATGCTCTTTTAGATAACTTTCCAAAGATATTGAGAATGATGATGAGAAAAGAAAATTAACAAATTCACAACAAATATGTTTAAATTTAGTTGCATGGAATTGAGTGGTCCAATTTTTTTCTCCTCTGTCTGTTGTTGTGCCTTCTTTTTCTTACTTCGTGTATCTGTGCCCCCTGTCCCATATTTTCTTGATTAGATTTAGCCTGCTTACCTGAAACTGGAAGACATGAGTAATTTTCTAAGACAATATAACTTACCAGACTGACTCCAGAAAACAGAGCTATCTTAAGTCAATTTTCATGGAAGAAGTAGAGAAATGTCTTAAAATAAACCCTAAAAGTTTTTAACTGCAAACAGTTTCACACAGAAATTCTACCAAACTGTAAGGAATGTGTTATTAAAATGCTGTTCAAACTGTTAGAGAACATAGGAAAGATGTATAGCTTCTAGATTGTCTTTATGAAGTAGCATAACTTCACACTCGCAGTGTTGATCTACAGACTAGTATGCTTGAGAATTTTGATGCAAAAATCCTAAATAAGTAATGTTACCTCTCTCATTGTCAAAGCCAGCATTATACTTAATGGGGGGAAAACTAGAAATATTCCCTTAAAGTTAAGTCAGTATCCACTGTCACCACTGTTTTATCAAACTGTGACACACACCAAGATGATTGATACATTACATTACATAAAAGGCTTTTTAAAATTATTGCTTAATCAGAATTAGGATTAAGCGTCATAAGACAGATAACCAAATATCTGAAATTCATACCATGAAAGGAGAAAAGTGATTAACACCACAGTAGAAAAATGAACAAAAGGACAGACTATTCACAGAAAGGAAATGCATTGTCAACAAGTATAAAGCTACTCATGTCGTGTATAAGAGGTACACAGATTAAAGCAATGCTTATTAAGAGCACGTACTCACTCATCTATGAATAATGCGTGAGCATCCTCTCACCATTCGTTGTTACTGGGAATGCAAACCAGTACAAACTCTGTAGATGACAATTTTGGCAAAAATCTATCAAAATTACAGAACCACAGCCCTTTGACCTGGCAGTTTCTCTTTTAGGAGGCTATTCTTATTCTTCAGATATGACTGAAACTATGCAAATGTCTAAGATTGGTCATTGCAATCTTGGTTCTTAAAGAAAAGATTGAAAATAGCCTGTGTGTTCATCCATATAGGATCATAATATACCATAATGTAATGTTGTGCAGCCAGTAATATAAATAAATAAATAATAAGGAAACTTATCAACATCTCTGGTAGAATAAGTAATGTAATAGCAAAGTTCAGAGCTGTGCTACCATTTGTACATAACAAGCAGGGCACACAGAACATAAAAGATTTGCTTATATGGTTCGTAGAATATTTCTGGAAAATTGGGTGCCTTTGGGAAGGAGAACTCTGGCTAGAAGCCAGGACTGTTTTATATTTTTACCTTTTATATATGGAGGCCTTCAAAATTATACTCACATAAAGTAGCTCTGTATTTTTCATTCTTGGGATGTAAATTATCTGTGTACAACTTGTGATAATTACAACCAGTTTTATTATTATTTGGTCATAAGTTCTGGAAATAGGTTCACATCTATTTTTAAATTGATCCCTTTTATTTTAGGATCTCCAGCAGAGCTATCTCCTACTACTCTTTCCCCTGTTAATCATAGTTTGGGTAAGTTGCAAACACTTTTCCACCACTGTTTTTATACTTACCACTTAAGTATTCTCTCTGGTCATTATTTGATCTATACATGAGAAAAGGAACTCAATAAATAACCAAGTGATTGTTCAAATTAGTGCTTTAAAAAAATAATGGTGATGTGCCTCAATATTACTAAACCTCTTTTCTACTGTCACATAGTATAAGAAACTAGTAATATGTTTATTCATAAAAATCAGATTCTTTACTCAAGGTAAATTTTATGACCTATTATGACTGGATGTCTGTGGGTATGTTTTTTAATGATATAGTTTACAATATCAGTTATTAATAGGTATGTGTGAATATTTGTACATATCACAGATACATGGGTATAGTTTGGAGTGCTGTGTGTATGTGAGAGCTACTGTGTGTGTTTATAAACATTCTGTAGTTTATTTTTGGCCTTCATTTTGCTCTGCTTTTTCACAATTTCTCTTCAGTTGACACATTTGAAATTTATTCTACACAGTGGTCAATTTTTTAATGATATTCCTTGTAGTGGATTATGATGAAAATTAAAGAAGTTATATGTATGTGATCATAGTTTTACAGTGAAATATGTAAGTTCTTTGGATTCCATATTCTCTTTCCACTTGCATACTCTCTGTATTTATTACTTTGTTTCTTATCTGTATGGCAGTTTTATATTTTTGTAACCAGGGTGTAACCCCTGAGAATTTGATGTTAAAATCCACAAATGTCAAAAATGTCATTTTTGTATCCTATTATTACAGTTTCTCTTCTTGTGGCTATTGACTCACTGATTTTTGCTCCATCTTTATTCCATTTTATGCTACCAAAAACTAGCTCTATTATGAAAATCGATTTACTTTATCTGGTGGTGGTTTTCTGTTTGAATGGGAATTAGTGTAAAATTACTAGGAGAGCAATTGAATCCCCATAAAGTCTTTTTAAAAAAAGGTTTGAAGATTGGATGACTTAATGAGATGCTGGAAGTTAAAAAATTTGAAAATCTGTATGATCTATGAAAATTGGAATTTATGATGTTGATGTTAGGTCAACTTCCTGAGCTGTTGCCAGGATAGGCTGGCATAGAGCATGTAAAAGATGATAATATTCAGTCTATTCTTGGCTTGAACTGTTAACACAACATTTCTTGCTCTTACGGATTTGGTTTTTCCCCTCAGATTTGCAGCCAGTCACTTACTCAGAACCTGCATTTTGGTGTTCAATAGCCTATTATGAATTAAACCAGAGGGTTGGAGAGACCTTCCATGCATCACAACCCTCGCTCACTGTAGACGGCTTCACAGACCCATCAAATTCAGAGAGGTTCTGCTTAGGTTTACTCTCCAACGTCAACCGAAATGCTACAGTTGAAATGACAAGAAGACACATAGGTATGTTTTTGTTCCTTGTGTGAAAAACCAATGCTGTATACTCATAATGTGAGCATTGTGTGGTTTACCACATCAAGAGATTGTGTGCAGGAGAGCCTGCCTTCTCTCAGTGTAAGTGCTCAGCCTCATTTCTTTTAATAGGTGCTGTTGAGACTCCTCTGCAAACTCTTTTTTCTTCAGCTTCTCGTTAATTGGCACCCTTGATACTAGGAGGTCCTTCAATAAATAGGTGTTAAAATGACTTGACTTTGCCGAGTCTCTACCAGTCATAAAATTGTCACATTCAGATTTTAGGGTTATATTGTCAACAAATGATGAGGGGTTTTTTTTTTCCAGTTTGTTTACATCTCCTGTTTACTCCCTCCTTCAATGAGTTCATACATTAAACCTCAGTATTAATCTAAAGCAAGATATCTAAAACAAGAGTTGCCATCTAATGAAGTTCAAAAAATAATTCAGGAGATCTCAAAAATGTGGTAGTCCCAGCAGCCTTTCAGCAAGTTCGAAAGGTGAAACTAGTTTTGTAATGGTGTTAGGATGCCATTTGCCTTTTCTACTCCCATTCTGTCACATACACAGTGGAGTATTCGGAGACTAGATGAGATGGCATATGCTCTTGCAAGATAGGATATTAAATGTAGAGAATCTAGCTCTCTTCCGTTAAGTCAGACATTATAGAGAGATTTGCAAAAATACATTGCTACTCTTCTCACTTTTTCTTTTCTTTTTTTTTCCTTTGGAAAAGAGTTCTTTTTCATAAAAATGTTATTTATGTTGGTATGTAGTGGGTTTATTTGATTCTTAAATGAATTAATACCTTTTTTGAATGTCAGTTTTAATATCTAGTATGGTAAGTTTCCATAGATGTAATTCACATATACAAAAACTCCTGGATTCTTCATTATATTTTTTGACCGAGGTAGGAAAATATTTGAGCACCACCGATGTAACTGAACATAGTTCTCATCACCTTAAAGTAACTTCCTTTAACCATAGTTTTCTTCTGTTTCCATTTAATGAACCATCACCTCCTCTGATAAATAATGCTGGTCACTAAAGAGTGAGTGTGATACTGCGAATGGGAGGGATTTAAGAGGTCTACTGGCTCCATGTGGGACTTCTCAAATCCTGTTTGGTATACATTTTGCATAATCTTGTTAGGGTACCAGGGTGTCTTGTAGGTGAGGAAGACTTCTGCATCTCCACCCTACTTTAGCTAAAATGGTTGTTTTTTCTGTGTTTTAGTTGGGGTTCTGCATACAAATTTAACACATTTCCTCTACCATATTCATTTCTGTAGAGTTTTGTTTAGACTGCCATAATTATTGATCAAAAGAATATAGCCTGAAAGAAAACTCTACTTTTTAGATTTACCAGTAATGTTTTTCTGATGGTCAAGTATGTGATTATTTTAACATTTTCATAATGGTCAAGTATGTAATTTTTTTAAAAACAAATTTTCTGTAGTCCTAAGAGAACAGGGCACCAGATTTTGTATTTATGTATTAAATCTGGCTTGTTGATACTTTTATTAAAGTATTTTGTCATGTATAATACACACTTTTTAGCCCACATTTTGAGGGTGAAAATAAGAATGTACATTATACATGGATAGTAGTAACTATGTATCTATATATTTTTAATTCTCTTATTTATGCTTATGTGTTAAATGTGTAACTCTAGAAAGCAATAATGATATCCATATTCAAAATAATACTCTGGAATATAATAATTGGTTTTGTTCCTAAATATAAATAAATTAAAAATTGAACTAAAAAATTAAAACAAATTTTTTTTTTGAAACTTTGGGCCAAAAACATGAGTGAGCAATATACACGAGAGCTCATTATACATGGACATGTGTGTTAGTTTCTTTCTTTTTTTTTTTCAACTGTGTGACATACTGCCAAACACTTACCAGCCTAAAACAACACATCTCTCAGTTTCTGTGGGTCAGAAGTCCAGGCTTAGGAGTCTCCTCGGGGTCTCACAGTGGGGAAACCACAGTGTCATCTGGGCTACCTTCTCATCTGGAGCTTCAGGTCCTTGTCCGACCATATGATTGCTGCAGAGTTTATGTCCTTGAAGTTGTTTTACTGAGGTACTCATTTCCTGCAGACTGCCAGCTAGAGGCTGCCGTCAGCATCTAGAGTCCACCTGCATTTCTTGCCAGGCAGCCCCCTCCGTTCTCATAGGGAGCATGGGGGAGTCTCCTGTGTTGTCTGTCTCTCTCTCTGAATCACTTTCACCAGGGGCAGCCCGGTACCTTTTCAGTGGCATCCCCTGATTAAGTCAAGCCTGACAAAGATAGTCTCCCTTTCTCTAACCTCTCAATTATTACCTTTTTTCTTAACTTTAGTGGGATCTTTAAGGAAATACTATTTATTATAATGAAGGCATATTTCTCTGAGCAATAGTTAATTTCTTCAGAGTTAACTTCTTTTACTTTAAATTATATAATTTGTATGACACTTTTATTTTACTATCCACGTACTTTTCTACATTGTTTAAATATTTTTGGTAAGTATGTGTTATTTTTACAAATCAATTAAAGTCTTTGTTAAAATACTTAGGAAAATATATAGCGATATGTTTCAAAGTTAGACTTCAGAAAAGCGTACTTGTGGAAAATATCTAAATACCTTATATTATGTAGTATTTCTCCAAGAAGACTCTTCCAAAGTCATGCTGAAATAGTGAATATTATAAAACTAATCCCATATGTGTTTTGTTTCAGGAAGAGGAGTGCGCTTATATTATATAGGTGGGGAAGTTTTTGCTGAGTGCCTAAGTGATAGTGCAATCTTCGTGCAGAGCCCCAACTGTAATCAGAGATACGGCTGGCACCCTGCAACAGTGTGTAAAATTCCACCAGGTATGGGCGCAACAGTGTAGAGAAACCTGTCATATCAATTTGCTGAGCTTTTCTACTTGCTATTAATTTTGGGAGTTAGGATTGATTTGCATGCTTGTATTCTAGTATCTGTAGCCCTTTTAAAACTACCTTCTTACCGTAATACTGTTTTTAAACATTTTTTTCTTTCTTGTTTCACTTTTTTCAATCATAGGCTGTAATCTGAAGATCTTCAACAACCAGGAATTTGCTGCTCTTCTGGCTCAGTCTGTTAATCAGGGTTTTGAAGCCGTGTATCAGCTAACTAGAATGTGCACCATAAGAATGAGTTTTGTGAAAGGGTGGGGAGCAGAATACCGGTATGAAATATATACTCAACTCTTAAATTTCCATGATGTAATTCTTTTTTCTCCTATCCTTTGCATATTCTGGAGTTCACATGTATTTGTTTTCATTAAGGTTATGAAGTCAGTAGATCTCTATGTGTAATAACAAAAGAAAGTTGAAGACCTAGATTGAAAATATATCAAATTCCTGTGCTGGCATTGTAGAAGGTAGAATTGAAACATGGACAGACACACCCTGTAACATAATACCTACAGATTGTTCTATAGCATAAAAGGGGTATATTGGAAGGATTATGTCAGTTCATGGAAGGAGAGATGTTTTCACTGGGGCTCAGTGAAGGCTTCTGGTACAGAATGTAGAGATTACATAGATTCTAAAAGATGTGTAGTATTTTAGCAGTCATGGCTATGAGGGTATGGTACATGATGGTTCTGGCAATAAAATAGTAGTTCACTTTGCCCAGAGTATAGAAAATACAGAATAATAAAGCTAAACAAGTAAGCTGAGACCATTTGAATATAAGATTAAGAAGTGGAACTTCATTCAGTAATAGAAGGGATACTTGTTGGGTGCCAGGAAATAAGCTGTGTTTTAATGCAGTATCTCGTGGCTTTTTAGCACTGCTAAGAATTCTGTTACTCTTTTTTCTTTTTTAATAAGGTTGCAGTCTTTGTAAATAAAAAAATGGTTTAGGCTAACTTATTTGGAAATAGGCTTAGAAGAGATTTGATAATTTGCTCAAGGACACATTGTAAGTGGTGTAGACAGAACTTGAGGAAAGCTCTCCTTGACTCTTAGCTTCTTCTCTAAAGATAGTGGTAACAGTTATGTAATTGAGTTTTACAGAAGCACATTTGTCGTTGGGAGAAAGATAGATTCCACAAGCTTGGATTCCACATCAAAGGAAAGGAGGACTTCCTCAGCATGCTAAAGAATAGAATCATAAGCAAAACACTTAATCTTTTTCCTACTTAAATTGCTTACTCTTTGAACGCCTGCTTCAGAATTTATTTCATTTCATTTGGACTTGATTTCTGATCTTAAGTAGTGTGAGGTAAATGATTTTTGAGATAGTGAGATTTGAGGTCTGTTGGTTGATACTTTCATAAAATATTTTGTGTTACATATTTTTATCCTAGAATGAAAACTTCTCACTGTTCTGTCCATGTTATATCAGTAGGATAATTCATTTTGTGACTTTGCTATAGTTCAGTTTGTTTCCAGGGGCGTCCAACCTTGTGGCATCTCTAGACCACATTGGAAGGAGAGGAGTTGCCTTAGGCCATACATTAAATACATTGCAACACATGATCACAAAAAAATTCTCACGTTTCAAGTAAATTTACGATTTTGTGTTGGGCTGCATTCCTAGCCATTCTGGGATGCGTGCGGCCTGGGTTGTGAGTTGGACACACTTGCTAATCGTTTGCTTTTTGAGATGTGATACCTCTAAAGACCTCTGAATTTTTTTCCTTTGTACTTAAGGTGACCTGAGTTGATATTAAAATTAGATTCCAGTAGTAACTATCTGATAATCAAGTCTTTAGTCTTTAGTAATCAGACCTTTAGTTTTCCCTTCAAATGATTAGAATGTTGCAGAACATGGTAGAAATTCAGTTGAATTAAATGTGGACTGAATAGGTCCTCAAGGGAGAATTTTATGTTTATCTTCAATAGGTCTCCTGCTAAGAGCAGTATTAATTGGTAGAGATAGTGCTCTTCATTTACTGTGGACTCTGCCATTCTTTCACCCACAGATAATTTAAAATCTGTAATTATGAGAAGCAGTAATATATAGTATGGTTTTACAGGTGTGGAGTCACGTGTATTTACTTTGGATAATTAAGAAGTTTCCTTGAACATTTATAGATTAAAATAACTTCAGATTTTCATGTCTCTGAACTGTCCTTTGATTCTTGATGACGCTGGAGCTGAGGAGGTAGATAGAATGGTTGGATTTCTAAAACTGACAATATTTCTCCATTTCTTTAATGCCAGCTCTATTCCCAGCATAAGAGTCAGGAACATAGTAAAGAGGAAATAACAGATGTGTAAAGAAGTTGTGTTTTATTGAGAAATGAGTGAACCAGTACTGGATTAACTAATCAGGTAGTGGGATGGATAATGCCTGGAGTGTAATTTTGTGCCCAAATAGGAATAGTGACAGCCTTAAACTTATTTCTACCCTTCAGTGACCTAGATTAAAAATTACTCCTGAAAGGTTAAACTAATGTAGTAATAATGATAGGATGGAAAACAAACTGGGAAATATCCAGAAGTCAGCAAGTGGCAAAATCAAAAGAGATTTTGGCAGTTACTGCCATCTCTTCCTGATACAAGGAAGAGATGAAAAGTAGGACTTTGTGTGAAGGACACAATGCAAACAGCAGAGGGGAAGGTAAGATGCAGATGAGAAAGGGTCAATCTTGCCTGGACCTCATGGACAATGTGAGGCAACTGCGGAGTATGCCTGCGCATAGGAAAGTACAGAGGATCCAAATCAACGCAAGTCTGTACAGATCAGATTTGGGTCAGTTAAGTTTCATGTGTCATGTTTCAGGGATGATCATATATCAAAACGTCTTAGTGTCTCAGACCCTGAGACAAGGATTCAAGTGCAAAGAATTTGTTTAGGAAATGGAAGAAACACTGGTAAGGAAGGAGGAAGTAGGGAAGTGAGGTAGGAGAGGGAAGGCAGCCAATGTCATTATTAATCCATCTAATAGAGTACAAGGCTCATTAGCTTTTTCCCTTAGGAAAACTTTGGAAAATGGTAGAGAACATACGGAATGATCCCACCCAGAGGGAAAGGAAACTGGGCATTTAAATGCCAGTTCCTGTGTTGTTGCGGGAGCGCTGCTCCTGGGGTTGTTAAAAGTCCTGGCACTCAGGTCTGCTGCGGATCTGGACAGAGCTGAGAGGTTCTCAGGCACATAAGTGAGACATCTACAGGCGGAAGATGTCTAGAGAACACTGAGAAATCTGAAGTTTATAACGGGGCACTGGCACCCTCTGCTCCAAAAAGCCGCATTTTTTGAAAAGTGGTTTTAAATTATGTCAGTATATGTTGCTTGGAGATGGAGTGTGATAATCGCCTTTTCTTATGTGTGAAGGGCTGTCACACTGAAGAAACAAGTAGATATATTGACTTACTGTGTATTAAATAAAACAATGAAAATCAGTACACAGAAGTGACAGGATGTCATTGAACAATTTGTGATTCCCGAACAGTTGCCCTTTTTGTTGAATTACTAGGGGTGTTTCTTATTAAAAGTCTGCATGATGTGGCTGAAGGGGAAGCTGTTGGCTTTGTCTGGGAAAGTGGGACTACAGCTCTGAGCATTCTGTGAGAAGCTTAGGTTAGAATTTTGTTTCAGCGTTCTTTAAATTTGAACCCTGTTCCATTTAGACTTCATTTGGTATTTGAATATCTTCTGTTCTTTGGTTGATAAATAAGTAGGGTAACTCTAAATTCCCATTAGCACAGGACAGCCCTGATTTACATCTCTTGCCCTGGCATAATTATTAACAGTGACTGTATTTTCTTTTAAAGGTATTCCATTTTGGATGGTAGATAGTAAGATCACCCTACTAGTTGTAATTTGAGGGTAAAATAATGTTTTTTTATAAATCTCTTTAAAAGAAAAAAGTCATTGGAAATAACTTTGTTAGGCTTTGAGAATAAAGCAGTTTTCAAAATAATTACATATCCAAACTTAACACTTGTTCAACAGAATTTAGGTTTCAGTATATGCAGCCTTTTACTTCACCTGAATTCTTAGAGCATCTAGCTAAACATAGTCATGTTCTTTTCATTTCATAATTGTTTTGCTTGTATTCTTTTAAACAGAAGGCAGACGGTAACGAGCACTCCTTGCTGGATTGAGCTTCACCTGAATGGACCTCTGCAGTGGTTGGACAAAGTACTAACTCAGATGGGATCCCCTTCAGTGCGTTGCTCAAGCATGTCATAAAGCTTCGTCACCAATCAAGTCCCATCAAAAGACTTAATGTAACACTCTTCTGTCATAGTGTTTGTGTGTGGTCCCCATGGACTGTTTATATCCAAAAATTCAAGCGAGAAAACAGCACTTGAGGTCTCATCAATTAAAGCACCTTGTGGAATCAGTTTCCTATATTCAAATATTAGATGGGAAATTTAGTGTCTAGAAATACCCTCCCATAAAGGAGGAAGAGAAGATTTTAAAGACTTACTATTGTCTTCTTGGGCATAAAATTGAATGTCCCGAAGGTTTATTAATAACAGTAGTAGTTACGTGTACAGGTAATGTATCATGATGCAGTATCACAGTATTGTGCTGTTTATACCCATTTTTAGTTTGCATAAATTAGGCGTGTGTGCTGCTTCTTGATTTAGGCAAGCCTTTATAAAGTTACAGTACCTGATCTGTTATTCCCATTTCTCCGTTTTGTGTGTCTTTTTTAATATATAATATATATCAAGATTTTCAAATTATCATTTAGAAGCAGAGTTCCCTTGTAGAAAAACTAATTTTTCTGCCTTTTACCAAAAATAAACTCTTGGGGGAAGAAAAGTGGGTTAACTTTTGAAATCCTTGATCTTAATGTGTTCGGTGGGTCTTAAACATTTATTCTTGTTGATTTGTTTACTGCTAAATCTCATATGAGGAAGCCTTGCAGAAAATCTTTCCAAACCTCACCTCCATTGCTACTTATGTCCTGATACCAAAACAACGTAGCATGACATCCATCACCAGTAATGGTCCCACTGATACTGCCAGCACCAGTCACGTCTGGGCCACGGGAAGAACTCACACGGAGTACGTTGCTGTGTCTTACACCACATTTCTCAACAGATAATACTTGACTCGTGTGACCTAGCAGTCTGTTGATTTATTCTTGCACCTCATCAAAGAAATGCACCGGTGGCAGTTATTTTCAGGGATATGCTACAGTTATTTCAGTGTGTTTTTCCCTTTCTTAAAGCCAATCTATAGATGTAAACACTTTTTTTAAAAGATATTTTAAAATATTTCAAAGCAGACCTAGTGTCCTTTGATTTTTCACTTGTTTTAGTTAGATTGTTTTATGAATGGACCTTTTATAAATGTAATCGCTCCTGCAAAATGCCTAGAAAATTGGTGCTGAGGTATGATCAGCAGATAAGGGCCATTTGTTTTTAAAGTATGTTGTATTCAATTTATAAAATCTCTTTATTTTACATAATTATTAATCTAGAATTTTAAAAGTTTGGAAAGAAGCAGTTTAGCAACTTTTTTTAGCTTATAATTACCTACAATTTGAGCTGTTCTTAACTAATGTTGACTATACAGTCGACTCTTAGAACCAACCACACATTATGCTCTGCGGCGAGAGGCGAGTCCAGAGGCCCTGTTGGCGGTCCATTCTGCACCAAGTAGAATGGACCAAGCGGTCCATTCTGGACCAAGTGGAATGGTTCTTCAGTCTGATGTTAAGTCATTGCCGTTTTAACATTGCTTGTTTTCCTCTCGGTAAAAATGGAAAAGAACCACTCTGGGTTTCCTTCTTGTAAATTTGTATACTTTTGAAGATATGTATCTTAGGTACTTGTCCTTGAAACCATGTTCACCTGTCTCTGCAGGTGTATTTTCAATATTTTCTGCATTCGGTTGTTTTCTGTTAGGTATTCCTCATTTCCCAATATTTGTGTGTACCTGTATGTGTTATTGTAAACATGTAAATTTTTTAATTCATTCAAATATTTATTGTTTACTGCTATATGTGCCAGAAACTTTTCTAGCTTTTGGGTAAAGTTGCACAAGTCAGACACAGTCCCCTTTGCTGAGACAGCAGTTATTATAACCCTCACTCAGCTTCCTTGTCCATGAAGGAAATCAGTCAGATGGAGCGTAATAGAGAGAAGGCTTCTCTACAGAAGTGATGCTCAAGCTAACACTTGGCGTGAGAAAGGAGCAAGCTGCCTGGAGAGCCTGGAGAACAGAATGGAATCAAATGCAAAGGCTCATTTTAGAGGAAACTCATTATCAGATATTAATACTTTATATAAACACCTATACACAGATCTGAACTTGAGGATCAGAATGGTTCTACAATTTATAATAGCTGACGGTGGCCTTATTTGTGACAGACTGCTTCTTGTGTCATTCTCAGAAACATTTCTTCTTCCTCATTCCCTTGCCCTAAAATTTGCCAATCGTACCACCTGGTCAGCACCATTTAACCACTTCTTTAAATCTGCCTTGTGCAAGTTTGCACCACTGCAGTGTCTGGCCGCTCACTTCCAGACTTCCTGCTGCCCACTAATTACTGCTTCTGCAGTGCGTCTTGTGATTTGAATAAGTGTCCCAGTTATTACCACTGTCAGATCTGCTGGAGAAGATAACATGGGGAGTCTCTGCCCTTGGTAGGTGTTTACTTACTTGGGAACAGTTTTGGGGGCAGAGAAGAACTGTGAAACTGGCGCAAGGTCTTCTCTCTTGCACTGATAGGTTGAGGGCAGCAGGGCCAACTACAGCATGTCAGTAGTGGATCACAGCTCCCCAGTTAACAGTGTGTTCTCTTGTGCAGCATGGAGCTGGGACTCAGCTCTTAGGAAGCACCTGTCGTATTGAACAGCTGTACCTGTTGGGCAGTGGATTTCGTGGTGGCAACTACACTGTGTGAATGTATTTAATGGTCATGGTCATGTGTGCTTTTTTAATTTTTTAAACTTATAAACTGTTTATTTCTGGAATTTCCTGACTGTGGTTGAACAGGAGTAACTGAAATCATAGAAAGCAAAACAGCAGATCATGGGGGACCACTGTTGTTAATAAAAGGCAAAATTCGCTCATTTTACAGTAATGATATAGATGTTTTTAACCACACCTCCCCAGAGTTTCTTTGAAGATGTTGAACCCAAAAAGCACTTCTTTGCTTCTCTTCTTCTTGTTCAGGTAGTCCCCCAAATATATAGCTGTCTCCTGGGCTGTTCATAATTTAAATTTCTTAGAATATTTTAACAAAAGAGTTCTTTTTAACAAAAGAACATGGCAGTTCCCAAGTAGTAATCCCAACCAGCAGATTTTTCCATATTTGTTTTTTAATGCAGTGCTGGTTTTGCATAGGTCTATATTGGCCTATTAATGTTGACCCTTCCTTTTTTATTCCCTTGATAGGGGTTTTCATTCTTCTAAGTGATGAGATCCCTGTTAAATTTTGTCCTTATTTAAATTAACAACATTATTCCTTCGCAGTGCTAGTAATTTCCTCAACTTTACACTGAGAACTGAAGGACCATGCTGTGTATCACATGCAGATGAATGGTGATTTTTGTAGTGGATTCTATTTGCAGTTGGAGACTGATGACCTTTCTACTGACTCTTACAAGTGGCAGCTTCATTTTAATTTTATATTGGAGTTCTGCATCGATTAAAAATAAATAACAAAATGCTTTATTGCTTAGAAAAAAATTTTTGAGAAGTCCTTACAACCATTAGTTAAAATTAGAAAAAATTGAATTTTGGACCACTTTTCGAAATAACCTTATTTGTGTTCTTTTCTCACCTCACTTTAAGAAACTTTGCTGGTTAGGTTTGAACTACACTAATTATACTAATTATACTATGGTATGCAGTCATTCAATAAATATTTATTGACCCCTGTTCTTTACCCAGCCACTGGGATAGGCATTGAGTAATGAAACGGTGACTGGGATTTGGTCTTGACCCTCAAGTCATGCTTAGTCTTATGAAGGTTACTTTCTGTCGTGGGACCTGTTACTTTGCGGGAAGGAAATCTGCCTAGTTTTTCTTGAAAGCTCTAAATAGTCTTATTCTGCATGTCAAGTACATATTTGCAAATCATTGAATATCTAGGGTTTTGTTTTGTTTTTTACCTTAAACCATATCCAGTTTGCTTGATTCATCAATGTTTTAAACATTGTCAGATTGTTCTCCTTTGTAAAGATTAATGTAATTTTACTTTATTTGTACCTTGATTGTCATTTCATCAAGACTAAAACTTTGAAGGTGAAAAACAATCAGTCTAGTCTCTTGCTAGTGGAAATCAAATAAAAGAGTGTATATACTCAGTTGGCTTCTCTACCTCTTCCAAAAGCTGTACAAATATATCTTTAGGATCTTTGTCTTTTCTTTTTAATAACTAATTACTTGGAACATTCATTCAATAATAGGTACCCTCCTGGTCTGGTTGAGGGCAGGATATAAAGTAACACAAGACAGTCTTCCATGTACTTAAAATCTGTCTTTGCTTTTTATGGCTAAAGATTTTGTGCCGCTCCCTCCCCACCCCCCCACCCCCCCACCCCCCGTATCTTTTTAGATAGTTGGGTAGTCTGTGGACATTGAAACACAAGGTCTTTGGGTTTTCACTCCAGTATAACAGATTGATGTCTAGACATAAATTACACCCTGTTTTCTTTCCTCCATGAGCTTTACTTTGGTAAATCCTTCATATTTGTCAGCTGAATTTTGTTCTTCTCTCCTTCTCTCCTTCTCTCCTTCTCTCCTTCTCTCCTTCTCTTGACTTGTGTTTCTAGTGGTTTCATTGGTTGCCCTCTTCCTTGCTGACCATGTTTCATCTGCATCCACTAGAATGTGTCTCTCCTTTTACTTTATGACTGAAGAATAAAAAAGGGATGGTGCTTTTCACACCCAGGGTTCTAATTTCTTCATAAACTTTGATGTTCAAATTGGTTTATTAAGAGGAGAAATTTTTTCCAGTTGAATGTCTTTGTGACTAGCAAATAGCATTAATGATCATATTTTATTTTAACTCATGTTTAGTCTTAGACCTCTTTGGCAGTCGGTAGCCACTGATTTCTCCTTACAGCTCTTGCCCTGTTTCCCACCTTGGAGCATATTGGATTGTTGTACTCAGTTCAGTCCAAAGCGGTAATGGTAGTGTGTGGTCTGTGGAGGTAGTCAGAATCCTGCTGTTGAGTTCTTTTAGGTCTTTTCAGGCTTTCCATGAGTAGTTTGTTCAGACTACACTTTACTTTGGGGGCTTGAAGGACAAATGATCTCTTGGTGTTTGTAGCCTCATCCAGGAAATGCGCAGAAGTGCAGTGGATCTAGATGGCCTTTAGGATAAGAACTTCTTGTCTAACGTCACAAAATTGCTTGAGTAGGAATTGTTTTTTCGTGGATATTATAGCTAACTCTATAGATAGAATAACTGCCTTAACTCTTTCTAGTAGGAAATAAAGTACATAATGTGTGTGTGGATTTACATATACATACGTGTACTCACAGAAGAACCTTAATGGTAGGGGTCATTTTTCTCATATATTTCTTTAAATGTTGAATGCCCCTGTTGTTTCAGTAGAAAGTTCTTAATTTGCTCCCAGATATTCTGCTTTCATAGACCATCAGAGTACCTTTTTTTTTAGGATTTTATTTATTTATTTTTAGAGAGAAGGG